AAGCCCCTTTGTCATTTATCATAAGGACAGAAAGGCAAGAAATCTAATGATGGGGAAGACAATAGGTTGCAAAGACAGACTGTTTGCTAGTCTGCAGAGCCAGCCTGGGTTTGACATGCAGGAGTACATGAGTGAAGTAAACAGAGGACTGTAATGATTATCCAGACATTGAACGTGGCTACGTGTGCGTCTTCGCTGCTCTCCACACCACCCTCTACCCCACATGCTTCTACCTCCAATATCAGTATGTCTTACGGACTCGATTTTAACCGAAATTACTGAGACAGCTGCTTGTGGTTTTCAGTTCGGGGGATGGACAAAGCCTCAGCTGTAAGTCGAAGACACAGCGAAGTGTCTTCGTCTTTAATTTTTAAATATTCTGTGCACTCCTCGACGTGCTGAACGGCTGGCTGGGTGGATTGGACATGAGTGAACGTCATAACTTCAGGAGAGTGTGTGAAGAATTTGTATGTGTGTGTGTGTTTGTAAATCAACATTGCTACAAATCTGAGGACTCTGAATAGTTGTGGAAATTCGGTAATACAAACAGAAAAACCTGGCACAAAGTCCCCTCTTTGAACCTCCTAGACATCCAGACTGCTTTGGAAGTGACGCTAATGGATCTATCACTAGGTCATAGGAACTGCACCCAGATGTGGAGGTGGGAAGACTCAGGGTACCCTCAAACTCTGAAGGAAGCCGGTGGTCATCTCAAAGGATTGCTGACTTCGACTCCATACACTTCAGAAGTCCTGATTCTGTTTGGAGGAATGAGGAAGAGGCTTGAAATATACAAAAAGTACCACCCGTGCAAGTATCTATTTGCTAAAATATGGCTTTTGTTTTGTTTAGACTAATTTCAAGAAGAAAAGGAATACCCTCATTTCTATGACTAAGTCTTAGAATGTGGGAAATTTCTCATGCATAGGCCCTTCCCTGAGCAGTAGGATGGACACTGAGCTTGCTTTACTGATAGAATGAGGAGGAAAGAACCCAATGAAGCCTTATTTTCTCTTAAAACTGTGAATTGATAAATCATGGACCTGATGGAGAAAATACATTTACTAAAGCTCTAGGAGAGCTTAGCAGGGCCTGGTTCTGACTGGGTGCCTTTAGGCCATGGTGGCCACCAGACTCCCTGGACCACGGTAACAAGTTTCCCTTTCATGACTGAATGGGTCTCCACACTGACATTGCCATGAGTCTGAAGAAGTTACTTGCTGTCTGTACAGAGCATGGTAACAAGCGGGACCCAGTCGATCATGATAGCCTCTCTGATATGTTCTTGTGTGTAGGGGCCGGGGGAACTGGGGGAAAGAAAGTGTCATATTGCTTGGTTGTGACTCCTTCAACAAGGTACACAGTAGTAGGCAGACTCGACAGGCAGAAGATGATTCAAGAATTGGCAGGGGGGCAAAAGCAACGGACAGACAAGATGATCATGGGATCCATCAAACACAGTCCTACATTAGCGAAACCGTCACAGTAAAAGGCAAGGTGCTGGTCCAACAGACTGGACAATTTGTCTGTTGACCCACACTCCCAGATCTCCACAGAGTAGCATTTTTATTGCAGTATTGTCTTCCATGGAAAATGAACAAAACTTTTTAAATAAATCACAATTGCTTATTGCTTAGTATGTTGGATAATAAATTCTTTAGTTTATCAGTACCTCACGGCCTTCAAATGTGCATTCTTCAAATAGTTTCAATTACATATACATTCTTTCTCCTGAACAATAAATTATTCTTTAAAAACAAAAAGAAAAAGGAAAAGATACATAATTTTAAAGCAAAGGAAAACCAAAAAACATATATTTTTGACATTTATCTTAAACTTATATGAAAACAACTCTATGTTAGGTGTTTGTTTAAATATAAATAATAAAGGACATTATGTTATTTACAATGTTACATAGTAAGTTGAGGGAGTAAAAAAAAACTGACATGAACTCATAAAGACAGTAAATGATTTAGGGAAACATCCAAGTAATGTACAATGTGTATTTACAAAAGAATATATAATAGAACTTGTGATATGTGGCCGTTTCCTTTTGACTGCATCTCTCTGCAGTGTTTCATGGGTCTTTGTAGATAGAAATCTTTGTGGCTGGTGGGAAGCAGCCAGAACTAAAAGATAAAACTAGGTCTTCCTTATTTTCACCAATGTGAGCCATGCACCTTTCAACCCCGGGCCAAAAAAAAAAGTTACTGAGCAAATGACCCTGGATAAACTCTAACTATATCAAGACAGTCACACTTAAATAAGGAAGATACGGCATGTTGCTCTTTGGGACACATTCATAAATACCCAGGCAGAGTGCCATTTTGTAGAAAGCACGAGACTGTCTAGGTACTCTCAAAAACAAAAGTCCTACCAGGCAAGGAGGGAGAGTAGGGTAGTCAAGGAATCTGGAGTGAGAAAAAGGAGTTTTTCATATACTATGCTCCACTCCACGTTTCTCAGCGGGATATGATTTCAGACCCAGGAAACAAAGTCGCCGTCAAACTTCTGGGCAATTTCTGCTACCTGAAGACCCACAAAAGTTTCCCGTATGCGGGTAACGTAGGTTCACACTCCTTTGGATTGCCACCGCGCTCCTGAGTTTCTAAACAGGGATGGTGGCATTTGAACATCCTGGAGATGCCTCTGTGAACCCAAATCCGGGGGCCACAGCAGGTAGCCCCGAGGAGTCAGCTGACCTTTCCTATCAAGGGAACCTCTTATTCTATGGACAGAAAGCCTGTCCCAACAGATATGCCACCTCGGTGAGTGACCAGAACCAGTTGGAAAGAAAGTTTCCTCTCAATTTTAATCTGTTTTTGCAACCTGAAAATTTACAGTGATTTTTCATACTGAGGAAAATGTTGTTCATTGCTCTCAACAGAAGATTTTATTTATTCCGGAAATTCTCCAGAATGGGACTCGAAATGCCTGAAGAGTTTGAAACAGAAATTTTAGAGTTTTAATTACAGTAGGACTTTTTAAAAATTGAAATAGACTAAGAATGAGTCAAGGTCTTCAAATGCAATATTAGAGTAATTTAGAGAATCTCTTCACTGCTTGACTGCTTTCTCTCCCCTGCCATGAGCTTAACTGATTCTACAGAATTGGGAAATCAGTGCAACCTGGAGAGTTGTCAGGGCCTCCTTAGGAGAGGTGGACAAGCACATGAAGATACCGCTGAGCACAGAGAAAGTGGCATGGAACCATGAAGGATGCTTGGGATACCAAATACTAAGAGTAACTTCAAGGACCTGTAGACAGGTGTCTCTGTGGATTGTAGAAACACTTAGGAGCTTAATGACATGACTCATGCTCAGCCTGCATTTTTCTTCTAAGACCTCCTTGCATGTCACTTCTTCCCTTTAATTTTAACATAGAGATTTGGTGAAGAAATAGATTCAGTTCACCTGCAAACAAGAAGAGTCACTCTCCTTGACTTCATGTCTGGTATTTTGAACCCCCTGCTAACCTGTTCCCCATTTTGTTCCATGGCTCCTAGGAGGCCACTTGGAACCTAAGTAAAGCTCCAGCCCAATCTGACAGAAATGGGGCTGTGATTTTTTTTTTTTAATTCTCTTATTTTCCTGGATTAGCAGTTATTTCAAATGTTTCTACCTATAGGCTTTCCTTGGATTGGCAGTCCCGAGTGAACGTGCAAAGTATAGACCCATCTTAATCCTGTTTTTGTGACAGTAAAGCAAAAAAGTAAGAAAGGGGGAAAACGGGTGATACAGCTGTAAACAGAGAGGTTAGCACACAGGTGGGAGTCATTTCTGCAAGGAAAGGTGCAATCTTTCCAAGACTATTGCCATTTCCTGATGAATCATCACTCGTAGGAGGTTCTTACTAATAACAAATCACATGCACACTGGCCATTCCTGACAAAAATGTTCATGCATGGTTATGACTTAATCAAGGCAACATTGAAAAATGAGAGAAACATAATGAGGACAAAGGAATGGTCAAAAAAACTTAAAAATTACTAACCAGGTCACACAGCTGCTCTCCCCCGTGTCTTCTATATATTCACTCCTCTAGACAGTCTAAGAAGGATTTCCCTACGATGACGTCACCAGTATATACAGCAGGCACATTTCACTCTAGAAGGTATTTCAGACAAATTGCTGAGTGTGCTGTTGAAGCTGGGGTTTTTGTGCCATAATATGTCTGTCCTTGAGCCGAGAAGACACAACCGGTCACTAGCTCCAAAATCAGTGAAAAAACACAAGTCAGGAACGATTGCACCTTTTTCAGCCATGGTTTGCTCTTCAGCTAGATGAGCCGCTGTATCATTCCCCCAGAGAGAGAAAGTGAAACCGAGTCCTCGACTTAGGGGTTGGATTTTACCCTGATCGGTTGCCAGAACCCATTTTCTTTGCTATCCCGAAAGCTTGGTTTTTTTTTTTGGCCGAGAAAAAAAATCAATCAAAATAAAGTAAATGGTAGCTCCTTTTGTCAAGCAAGCTGTCTTCTGATGAATCATACAGTTTTTGAAAAAAAAAAAAATCACAATATTACTTTCTTCCTAATATTTAACATGACTTAATGCAGTTTCCTGCTGTAATTAATAGTAGCATGCTGCTGGATCTACTATTATCTCAGAGCCCAGTGAAGCAGACCTTTGGCTGGCAGAGTCGTAGACACAACTCATTTCATATACTGAAAGCAAAAGAATATTTCATACAGAAGGGGAGTATTTGGATGGATGTGCCATTACAAGACGTACTGATTGAGTACTACTTGAAGCAGACAGAGGGACAGTTGCAAATCCTGTAAATCATACATCGAGTCAACGTCATAATGCAATGCACAAGAAGCCAGCAAAAACGGAATTTGCGGGGGTGGGAGAGGGTTTGCTGAAATACTGTGAGAAAGCAGTCACAGGAACAGTACAAAACTTGCTCTCGACATAACATAACATAAAGGCACCATTGATATCTTTCTCGTTTGGAAATACTGTAAAAAATTGCTACATATGGCACATAACACATTTGTACATACATATATTTAATTTATAAAAGATTTTTTTTCCTGTTTTCTATTTGCAGGACTGCTAAAATAAAATAAATTGTTTAATTTAAGGTGGAATACTTTATTATATAAAATAAAGTTTTACAGGTGAATCTATGGGTTTATTTCGGTTTTATACAGCAATAGGGTCTTGGTTAGCGATTACACCGGACAGCCTGGCCTGCAATTCTTCCTGCGGAGAGAAGCGGCCTGCTGGGTTAGTCCTGCTGTCAGCCAGGTGGAAGGCAGGGGCTGCCTCAACATTGGCTGCCAGGGGGTTCTGTATGCCCAGGAAAGGTGTATCTTCTCCTACTCTTTCATCCTCTGTTTCACTCTCTGAGTTACTGCTCTCAGCGCTTGTGTTGCTGTCCATTTCCAATCTGTGGGCAATATGACCATTGGGCTTGGTTCTTTTAGCCCGCCGGCTGTTGGTGAGTTTCTTAACCGACTCTTGAGTCAGTTCATACTCCTGGGTCGTTTCATACTCTTCATCCTCCACTATCCTCAAGGGGCTAGGGGGTGGGCTGCGGCTCTCGTGCGCAGGGTTGCAGTGGAAGGAGTTGAGCTGCTGAACGTGCTGGACATCCCTCTCCCGCAGCCATGGCGGCGTCACAAGAAGCAGGGGTCTCTCTTCTTCCACGAAGGGACTGACTGCCATGGAGGGCATGGACACCGTCGTGCTGGACACGGGTGGAGACATTTCCGAAGGGGGCGACTTGGGGGAGCTTGGCGTGTGGAAATCTACAGGCGACATACGAGCCGGGGTGGTCATTGCTGATACATACCTGTGTGAGCAGAGAATACCCCGCATAAGTGTGGTAGAATGAGAGCCGTAGAGCGGGGGTGGGGGGTGGGGTGGGGTCAGGGGGCATCGTTCACAATATTGTCATCAGATATCATCCTCAGAGAATTTCTATTCATCGTACACTTCTCGGTTTTTACACTAGGACATTCAGCACCCTTGGAATCTCAAATTAGGTAGCCAAGAGTCTCCTCACAGGAGTGCATGCAAAGATCAGCTAAATTGCCTAGCTCATCAAAGCGTTTGAGGTTTTCGATCTCGTCATGAATTTTAATAAAAGCACGTGAGTTAAGACAAGAGGGCGCCGGGTCCTGGAAACCTCTCAGTTTATCAGGACCAAGGCTCAGGGATTTGGAAGGGAAAGAAGTATTACTTAAATACTATACCTTCCCAAAGGCCAAGGGGTCTTAGAGAATGAAGCCCAAATGGGGAATGGAAGAAGCTCTAAGATGAGTTTCGGAAAGCTGGATCTGCATGCATTTGGATCTGTGGGCCTTGTTTCTCCTTAGCTCAGCTATAAGGTTATGTCTTATGAAAAAAAAAGAGCATAGTAACTTAGATTTATTCCTGATAACAGTGTAACACATTTATGTGCTTTTTTAACTTTTCCATGAGATGTTACTTCTTAACATTCAATTTGCAACTCTCCATCCCAGTGACCATGACATTTCAAAGGTAACTTATTTTGGGCTTCACAGTTACGTCCAATCTCTGGTCTGCCTCTCTTCCAAAGCCCACCGCTGTATGTGTCTCTGGCTTATCTTCTGTGACTGCTCAAGACTGGGCTGTACCGTGTCGCCTTATGTCATGTTACGTCTGATCATGCTCAGTGAATCTAGCTGTCAAGACATTGAGTGCACTGTTTTTACCATATCGTGGTTTCTTCCCCCAGAACAAGAAGACCTGATGTGGCACTGAGAAAGATGTGGCTTATTCAGAGTCACATTTCTCAGCTTGGATAAAAATGTCACCAATGCATAGCACTAAAGGACTCTTTTCTTCACATTGGCATTTGCAGAGTCTAATTTGACATGACCTGTGATGACACAGGACACCATCTTCTGAACTCTAGCTAACAGAAACAAGAAACCTATTAACTCTTGTGCTTATCGGCCATGATTCTGAGTCATATGGAAGGGAGATCTGGCTGTGTCTAAAATGGGAAGGTGTCTAGAGATGGAAATATTTGGGAATCAAGTCTCCAGACCTTTTGTTTCCAGGATACTTAAATTAAGCGCTCTGAGAAGTGCTAATTCAAACCCAATCAACCCATAAAAGTGACTCGTCTTTTCTCTCCATGATGCCTAGGTTCAGGTGTATCTTGCAGTCCTAGCTAATATCTGGGGTGTGAAAGGAAGCAGGGAAATGTCAAACTTTAAAGACAAATATCACATGTAGTGATGAAGACAGAATTTATCCCTAAACTCTTTTTCACGTTTCTAAAAGGACTGAATTAGGACAGACTTCATACATAAAGATATAATTACATGAATTTAAGACTAATGTTTTAAACCAGTTTTGGACCATGTCTGCTTTTTCATAGATGAGTTACAGAGCAACCACTAATTCCATAAAACTCTGAAATACTATTTGGGGGTAAAGGCTTTTGAAAAAAAGTAACCAGCAGGCTCTATATGACCTGCAGCCTCCAAACTGGTCTCCTTTGAGGTAATTAGTTCCCAGTGCATGAGTGGAAGGGTATATCAAAATTATCTCCACCCATGAAAACCAAGTAAGTATCGCTTCGGCATGATGTAAACCTTTTAGTAAGTGGTCAGAGATTAGACTGAGAAGACAGTAAAGTCAACAAACCAACAGACAAAAACCCCGCTGGATTTGAAAACAAATAAGTAACAGCTTACTGATGGGCTAGGAATGCTGGTTGGGTATAACTTTCTCCCCCAGTTTAGGTGAAAATGGATCCGGAGAATCTATGAATTCAGTATTCTTATTAAGCGTCGCTTTCAGCTTACTTCGCTCTGATCTTTATTTTACCTTTGCTGTGACTGCCCCCCTGACCCAACCCCACAGCCCCAGAAGAAAGCCAACACATTCTGGAATAAGGGCCACGTCAAAGGCAATATCTGCCTTGGAAACCTCCGGCGAAGACTGCGAGGTGAAACATACGAGAGACTGATTGAGTCATCCCTTGTTGGAATGCCATAAAGGGATACTATCTGGAGGGATGCCAGCCGTCCCTACAACCGTCAGCAATGACACAGCCCTTGATTTGACTTAAGTGAGGCTGGAAGGTAAGGAAGAGTTAACACGTGCGATCGGGAGTCCAGCTCGACCAGAGTTTGGATAACTGGCCACTTAGAATTCTAGAAGGGTCCTGATCGATCACTGAGGCCAGCATTCTGCTCTCAAGGTACAACTGAGGAAACGGAAACATCCCCTCCCCGCCCGCCCCACCCCCCCCAGCCCCGAGGGTCTGAGCCTAAGGTCAGAGCTAGGAACTCCAAGTTTGCTGCACCTTCCACATCGAATCATTCCAGCTCTTTAGGAGTCTGTTGCCTGTCAGCCACGGGGATGATGCGAGAAGCTCACGAGCAGTGAGTTCAGTCAAACCCAAAGATGGCTTCGTCAACCAGAAGCACTCCTAGACCAGGCATCTGCCGCCCCTTATTCTCATTAGAGCGGGTTCCTTAGGTGGGACCGCAGGTCCTTTTACTGGGGTGCTCTCTCCTCTGTAGTAGCTTTGCCCTTCAGTTTTACCTTTCACTATGAGGAGAATCTCGGTAGGAGTCAGGGGTTTCTCTGGCATGCCTGAGGAAGCTGTTACACTCGCGAGGGCCTCCCAAGCCATTAAGACGTCCTCTTGGGCCCCCAGTAGGGCTGCTGTGCCTACTGTTTTCTACAGATGACATCACGATGACAGAGTGGCTTTCTGAAATGATGCTTTCAGTGTGTCCGTTGCTCCAGCTACAGAGGAAATGTGAGAGGCATAGAGAGAGAGAGATTTTTAATTATAGGCACACGTGGAAATGAAAGGAAGTGATCTGACAAGTCTTGCGAATGACTGGTGCATCAGTAGTTCACTACGATATTACTTGTCTCAGAATAGAATTGTTTATAAAGTTGCTTGCTACCGACAGGATCTTGATTTAGACTGGCTTTGCAAGGGTACACTTTATTCATGTGTTCACCCATTCAACACACATTTACCAGATGCCCTTTCGTACTAAGTATTCTTAGAGTCTCTCTGTTCTTGAGTGTCTTAGATTAAGGAAGCACTTGTCTCATGGGCCTCATTTGGAAGTGTAGTGCTACCCTTGGTAGCACGCATTCGGATATCACCAGAGCATTTGAGAATTTAGGGTTCAGCTATTTAGCCAGTTCTCATGTGCATATCCCAGGGCAGTCCAACCACTGGAAGAAGTCAACTTCTAAGTATTGTATGGCATCTAAGACAAACTCTTCCCGGTGCAGTAATTCTGTGAATGGTCAGGCATGAGAAAAGACGATCTCTAAAATAAGGGACAACGATCCTATAAGGTAGGTATCGTTTCCCCTTACTCTGCTAACGGAAAAATTGAGGCTCAGATTCAAACAGCAATTAAGTGGCAGAGCCAGTTTGACATCCAAAGTCTGTTTTTGTCCCAAGCCATACGTTCTACTGTACCTCACTGCCTCATAAGTACCTCCTGTCCCTTTTGTAGGCAGTGAGAGCAAAAGACAATGTGTAAAGATTCGTTCTTCGAGAAATGCCATGCGATTTTTTATTCTCATACCTGTGACTGGGAGTCTGGGTGACAGTAGTGGAGTGATGAGCTGTCGAAGTGTAGTGACTGGTGGAAAAAGACGTCTCCGCCTCTCTCTCGACAATATGCTCGCTGGAGATGACATTTTTAGATACGTATTGCTAGATAAACAAAGAGACACAACTTGAAGATTTAGGGAAGTCAAAATGCTAACAATGTCACATGCACACAATTTATTACATGCTTCGTAATAAATTCTGTTTTTCCAGTGGCCAGATGACAAAACCTATCCCAGCTACTGTAGTCTTTAAATTAGGTAAATGGAGTTGATGGATTGCTCTTTGGATATGCGTGCAATGTAGGTCCTACAGTCATAACTACGTTTTATCAGAAACAGACCTATTTCTTCTCTTTCGTTTCCAATTGATAACATGACTAGAATTCAGTACAAAAGTCTGCCCAATACTTATTTTTGTAATAGTTGTTGCAAATCAAAAACGACGAATAGATATTTGAGTGCAACAAAAGAACAGAGATGGTTTGTCTCGTTTCAAATTTCAAGTCACTAGAAGAATGAAAAAAAACTCTGTTTTGAATCTTTCTTTCTCTTTTAATTTCTCAGTGCCCGTGGTGCCCTAATGATATCGTTGAAATTTTTAACTTGTCAGTGGTAAGACTAGCAGGGCTACTGAGAGATTTGAAAGACTTAACAACAGTTGTCAAGGTTACACATCTTGACAAACCATATAATAGAGGGCCTTATATTTAGTGCAAGTAGATTCTACTTTATTTTCACCACCAAATCACAGTAGCTCTTACCGCCTTTTATTAGTGAGAGAGGGACATCTTTAAATTGCCTTTTAAACACTGTTAGTATTTACACCAAATTGAGTTAAATAACGGGTAAAGACACGGATAGGAATAGTCTTAGATGAAATAGGGCAGTTTATCATCTGATGGGTTATGGGCTCTAAAAGAACCTGATATATTCATGGAAACCAAAAAAAAAAAAAACAAAAAAAACTGCAACTTGAATTATGCTTGAAATTATGGCTGGTTCTCTTAACCATGGAAAGGTTATTCCATGTGGATCTTTGCTTTAAGGAAAAGAGAGATGGCACTGTCACATGTAACGATCTATTTTTAGTCTGCGTACCAAATGACTCTTGCCCCTTGGAAGGCAATGTAAGCTCAGTGAATCTAATGAAAATCATGTTTAAAAATGATACAACCCTCACCAGATGCCACTGGGCTAAGTGTTTTATATGGATTATCTTTTTAATGCCCGCAAGAACTTTTTGAAGTAGGTATTATTTTTATGATGAAGAAACAGGGTTTAGAAAAGTTAAAGCTCACAGTAACATAGCTTGAGCCATAATTGGAATCCAGGCAGTCATTCTGCCTCCTATGTATTATATAAAGTGACAGATTATAGGTGTGTCAGTAGTGAATGAATTTAGCAACTGTGCAGAACATTCCAATGAACATACTGGTAGGGGGAGGAAAGCAGCCAATATGTTAATTTGTCAGCACCTAACAGTCTCCTGTGGGTCTTTCCTACAAGACTTGCTGGTGGTTGAACCTCCAGCAACCCTGAACTTGGGTCTCTGATATATTTGCTCCACACAAAACCCATCTTTGACTATAGGATAGAAAATGGTACTGCAAAGTAATCTTCCAGCTTTGCCCATAAAAAGCCAGACATCAGAGGGGAATGGAGAAAACAGGAAGAATGATGGCGGAGTAGGAAGGTAGAACTCCAGAAGCCAGGAGAGCTGAGTCCAGCCCTGCCCTGGCCCTTATCTGTAAAAAAAAAACTATGTAAAGACTCTCAGAATCTAATATTTGATGACTTCATTATATTTAAAAGCTGAATGCTCCATAAATTTAAAAAATAGATCTTCGAATGATGAAGGATGTATTTCCTCTGGACGGTTTGGCATCATGTAGAAAGAGTTGGAAAGTATTAAATTCTTCTGGTTTGGCTACTGAGAAGCAAGGTTGGTAATGGCCTTGACCTTTTCATGCCCTAATGTCTCCCTTTGTTAATCAGAATCAGTAAATCATCAGGCACCGGGCAAATGAGCCTAATAAAAAAATAAATGACTCTAGAGCCTTTAGTTCAGTTATCAGGGCTAATCAGTTATAGACTGAAGCAGCCTTCATTTCAAAGTATAAAAAAAAATAAAACATTTCCTTCTGATTCTTGTATCATGAATTTTATTATTTTTCTTTCTTTCTTTTTTTTTTTTTTCTGTTCTTTCTTCTGGTTATGGTTTCCCTACAGAACAAACCCAACATGATTATTCCGATCCCTTAATGAACACTTTATAAGAGGAAACGTGCTTGTTTTACAGTCACCAAATCCACTTAAAAAAATGTTCCCGTTATTTTCCCTTGGCGAAACCTTGGATTCCTGGAAGCCCTGGTGATTAATGGCAGCAGCTAAGAGCCTAAGAGCTTTAGAAAATAAACTTCAAGGTGCCTGAACAGAGGAGAGATGCTGAGCTTTTCCACTGGCCAGAGTCAACATACATTCACCAGCTGCACGTTCTCGGGGGGTGGATTGGGGTGATGGGGCCCGTTGGCTATGTTCACCATGTTGTTTCGTTCAGAGCGAAGACTCTGCCGAAGCCGGTCATGAAGCTTTTTCCGTTGCTTCCTGGATAGGAAAAAAGGAGCATTTATTTTTTCTATTATTTACATTTTTCAGTACAGTCAATTCTTTCTTCTACCAACACACAACTCAAGGCAGTGGCTTGGGAGGGAGGGCGGAGGAGGGAGGCAGTGCCACTTCATCTCAGGAGGGGAATCACCTATTCTTAGCCAGTAGATTTAAGAAGCTGCATGGGATTCTTACAGAAATTGAACTGGACTGCTGAGAGATAAGAAAAAAAAAGAAGACAAGTCAAGTCGAGAGGTGGCTAATACCCCAACTTTCCTAATCAGGCCCTCTTTGCCTAAGTCTGGGGGATGGGCATTTGTCTTAGGTAACAGTTCACGCTATGCAACTGACAAGGTTGATTTCATTTATAGTTTTGCCTGTCTGTGTGTCTTTCAAGAAAATGCAGTTAGTGTTGAATCTGTGCATCACACATAGTGTGTGTATGTATAGAACTGCACGTGAGTGAAGATACGTACTTATTTTGCCGGTAGATTTTGGCACAATTATAATATGATCCTACTCTATTACCACTTCTTTCTGTAACTAGGGAATGAATATTCACGTATTCAGATCGAATATAATAAGACTCATAAGGGGGATTCCGTGAAGGCTTATTTATCTCTATCGCTTGCTCAATTCTGGCAACACACTAAATCCTGGGACATTAAGAAAATGCCATCCATGCCCTTACTTTTATACCATAAGAGCATATTGTCTTTGTTCCTCAACTTGGATCGTAATATTAGTCCCATGACTAGTTTTGGCTCAAGATTTTATATGATGACGTGACAAAATAAAACAAAACTGTTAATAACATTATTTCAGCCTTGAAGCAGGAGTTCTATGTATGAGAGAAAAATGAAAAGAATTCATGTCAAACGGTAATTGTATTTGTTAACATGAACCCAGCTTTTAAAGGACCAACAAAGCAAACACAAATCTGTTTTCATGTTTCTCTTTTATTCTTTCAAAGCAAGTTTTGCTTAATTCTCCTCCTGTGAGATTCCTTTTGTACATCTCTCACTTTGGGAGCATTGGAACCGGTCACCTAATTAGATGGAATTGAAAATTCATCACGATCGTATTTTTTAAAACCCCCTGCATTTCAAACAGCACCAAATGCTCCCTTTATCCGCTAAGTCTGCGTACGGTCGGACGTGTCCTCAGCAGTGAGATGACACGCCCCTCCCCCACAGACACCTGCGTGTGTCCCTGTACAACCCTGTCCCTCCCGCCCTTTCTTCGGTCGTGGGACTGTGGTCAATTATCAGAAGTCTTCTGAACACTTTCACACAAATAGGCAAAGCTTTCTAATGTACGTGATTAGGAAAGGTCCTCAAAATGGATTATTCAGGAGGAAAAAAATAAGGAGAAAATCCCTCTGTGGCGCCCACCCCCTTTTTTCAAGACCAGGCAGTGGAGCTTGCCGGCCAGGCTGTCTGTGCGCTAAGGAGAGAGGGGGTGAGGAGGGCGTTTACTTGGTTTTGCAGTAGGCCACCACACACATGATGCCGACCACAAGCAGCGCAATGCAGATGCCGGTGATGGTGAGTACTCTCTTCTGGTAGAGCTCCTCCGCTTCTGGAAAGGGACGAGAGCAGACGTCAGCAAACGTCCCTGACCCTTGCCGGGACTTACAACTGAACAGTTGGCATGCTGTATTGTCCATGTTTACAAGAAAATACCCACGGGACACTTCATTCCTCTTGCAGACGTACTTAAGGTGTAGCATACTCTGCACTACATTTTGAGCATAAAATGGCAAAGCCCGTTGGGGGCCATTCATAATTTTAAAAATGATATTATTCAATTACTTTAATGATAAGTTATAGATATATGTGTACTAAACTGGCACATCATAAACATTAATTATAAAATAATGATTTGGTTAAAACTGTAGATTTTTTTTTAAAAAAAAATCTCTTGCAAAGACAACAGGAATCAACACCAGTAAAAGGAGCCGGCATTGGCACCACTGGGACCCTCTGTCTCCTTCTTTCCTTCTTCCCATCCTCCCAGCCCCCTCCCCTCCCTCACCCTGAGCCTCTTTGGATTTCCCAGCTATTTCCTATTCCTGTGGTCTTTACAAAGAGCCACTTCTAACTTAAAAAAAAAAAAAAAGAAAATCAAAGACATTTGCAAACATGAGCTTGACTTGTAGTTAGCAACAAAACTGATGCAGGATCCCTATGATTTAACAGTAAAATGCAAACATAAGCACCATGACAGGGAGTAGCAGGGCACTGTATCAGAGAAACCCCATACGATGGGTGGGATCGTCCCGTCCTGGGCCATGATGAAGATTTGTCCTTTGAGGAACAATTATTATTACTTCACCAGTTGTACTTAGAGACCTAATTTATGGCACTACAAAACCACCGGCACAAATGATACATGATTTGAAATAGATTGTACTCTCCTGCATTGACCAACTTGGCCAATTAGCTAATGTCGGTTGCACTAAGGAGATGGGATGCTTAGAACTTTCAGGTGAAGGTACTGCTGTACCCCCAGTGCAACCAGTTTCTGCTTCATGGAAGGCTTTCTATTTGCCAGTCGGGTTTTGTGGGGCTAACTTGCTTAGACTATGGTTGGTCAGGTTCTTAACAAGATTGGCTGATTTAATGGTGAACCTGATCCTCTTAGGAGCTAAGCTTCCAACCAGTCCTATCACACGTATTATTGGGAGATATTCACGAGTTCAATGAGAAAGAGAACTCGACTGAGGCATAATAAGCGGTGTGAGCTGTATTTACTCTTCTGATTAACAAGCTGGTCAAGAACTGGGGAATATTTTACCAATGAAGGTCTCTTATCTGGACATCAACATGGGGCCTTATGGAACATTTTCAGTTTACATTCTCTGTCTCAGCAACCACACTTTTTTTCTCTGCTGAGAGAGGGCAAGTCGCTGGAAGTCTTCTTGAAATGAAAAAGTGCAATGTAATTTCTATGATACAGTAGACTTTATCATTAAACAAAACATTTCCTACAAGCCAAGCCCATGGTAATCAAATTCCAGTTAACAGGTCAGGAACATTGTCAAATCAAATTAATAAGAGCACTGATTATTATTAACAGGAGGAAGAGAAAGAAGTAAGAGACCAGAATGCTGCAGAGATTATACAAAAACAAACCAGAAGTGTTGGAAGTGGAAAAGAAACAAACGGAGAGGACAGACGGGCTGACAGAATGACGGAGAGAGGGAGGAAGCCAGGTAGGAGGGAAAACAAGGTTAAGAAGTGAAGGAGCTATCTGAAGTCCCTGGCACAGCATGCCTGGTACTAAGGGAGGAAAAATAAATACATAAAAGAAAACCAGAGGGAGGAAGTGCTGGGGTGGGAGGAAGTGCTGGGGTGGGAGGAAAGGTGGATGCAGATTTGGAAGGGTTACCCCATACAGCATAACTCCTAACCTAGGCTGGCGGTCGCGTGGAAGCCACGATTAGAAAGCAAAGCAGCTGGTGCAGCTGATACACTGCGGGGCGACAACGGACCGGGAGACATAGAGCGGTGTCACGTAGTTGTGTGCCGCAGAAGTCAAATGAGGACATGGCACGTGGATGCTTGTATGTTAATTGCGAGTGTCTGCTGCCTCCTACCTCCCCTCCCACATAGACACAGGACAGGGAATTCAATTTCATAAGGTGTTAATCTGTGAGCTGATGCCCCTGGGGCCTCCGCCTGGACCGGGCACCCGGATCAGTTTTCAGCACTAAGTCTAAACAGCAAAGGCATCGCCCCACTGGTCCTTCTCCAGGGATTCAGGACACAGAGCAGGGATCCTTTGGTTGTGATGAACTGGTTACAAACCAGAAGTGTAAAAGTATCATTGCCTAGAAAATGAAGACCCTACTATACCTCTTTCGCTTACTCTCTTTTTTTCTTCTTTCCAAATGGCAAGCACTTGGCAGCATTGCCATCTTCCCATTCTATCTTTAGAAAAACCTGGGAAATTGCTTCTGCACACTGCAAAAAGAGGACCTAGCCAAGGGCCATAGGGGGAAAGGCATCGTGCCTCTCACGGACTCTTTGGCAAGTTTTTTGGTGGTTGTTAATTATAAAATAGACTAATTTGGGTTTGTGAACAAATCGTATGTGGTGACTTGCCCATTCTTCCTAGGTTATGTCAGAAGACACAGTTTTTCCAGGAAAGTCAATCATGGAAATAGAAAGGCAGCCCAGTAAAGGCCAAAGGGCAAAAGAAAAGTGCTAAATGAACTAACTAAAACCGAGGCCCCTAGAACGCAGATGTGGATCAGCGTTCTGTATTCACATCAGCATGTTTGCGTTAAATGTTTTTCATCTAAGTTTCTGATTTTCCAGTGGTTTACTAGATCAGGTGACCCTCACAAAATAAATGTGTTCAAAGAGAAATACCTGATGAACAATAATATAAACAATGAGTTTTTAAAAAAACCCTTTTCCCCCCCCTTATTTTTTTTCCTAGTGTGACAGGGTCAATAGGACAAGAACAGGTTAGAGGCAGTGTTGAAAAAAAGAATCCATCAGGCTCGTTGGCGGATCTGCCTTATTAATGAGTTGCAACACTTCTGAGTCTTTATGGTTTGGCTGGATGCATTGAATGAACCAGATCAAGCATGTTTTTCAGACTGATCTGGCTAGGCCAAGAGACAGAAGCCTTGGCTGTCTCAATTTTAATTGACCTTTAAAGTCGGATTTTCCTTAAAGATGGAATGTTCTGGCTGGCTGGGGACTTTGGAACCTCTGGAAGGTTTGCCCTTAAGAGGTCAAACCTTAAGCTTACCAAGGTAACCCCTGGTGTGGGTACCACATCAGTGTGCCTTTACTAATCCTTCAGATCTTACTGAGGGAGGTTATACATCTGAAATATCCATCACCCTACTTCATTGTTTGGGAAGAGAAATATTAAATTTAATAATTACACCCTAAAGTGATAAAGCAGGAAAGATGCTGTTAGGGAGAAGAGGGGAGGTGACGGTGGTATTTTTTTTCTTCCTTTCAGGTAAGGCCAATAAGTCTTTTTCGAAGTGGGATAATTTTTATCCCAAGGAAAGTAACCTGAATAGATAACTCCCCTCGTGTAGACCACCCGCCCCCTGCGGGATGTTGGTGGGACCTCTTGTGTTCCTTACTCTTGGGTGACGTTCTCTGATGTGCAAAGGACCACTCACATGAACGTGGGGCTCTTCCCATCAAGTGAATAGTTTTCTCTTGGAATATTTTTGGGGGCAATGAGCAATTAATTGAGTTTCTATCCCTGGAATGGATAGAGCTTGTAACAACCTGATTTTCCACAAATTATGGGAAGTACATTAGGTGTAGACTGTGATGTTATCATTGAAATGAAAGCAACAGCTATAAGGTGCTCTCACCGCATGATGTCACTGACACCAGCTGGTTGGGGACCAGATATTCCTGTAATCAGGACATGGCTTTATTGACCAACGGTCACGTTCCTGGGGGCCTGCACTGTGGAGCCTCTGGAAGAATAGAATGGCTTCCCCTTCCTCCCAAGACTGGCCTTTTCTCCCAACTCTTTAGGGTGAAGGCTTTCCAAAGAAGTCTGCCCCCAATTCACATGCTCATAGGAGATATTTTACATTTGCAGTGTGAAAATGTCTATTTGATTACTTGTTGGGGTATAGTGACTCAAGTTTAATTCTGTTAGTGCTAGAATTTCCAACTAAAATAGCACAAGGCTATTTCATTCTGTTTTCTGTTTCCTTGTTCATGAGATAATGAAATCGACTGGCACAGTGCTTGAGTAGCTCCAGAAAACCAGAGTAATCCAAGTCTATGCATATAATATGTTTCAGATTAAGATGTTACTATATTAATAGATGATTTTTACATTGTATGTCAAGCTCCCATCAGCCTAAAACGTGGAGCGTTCTTACACTGATGTATGTAAAGCTTCTTCTGTTCTCAGGCTTCTGGTTTGGTTCTTCCTACAGCCTTATAAACCACTCCAACGTACCCCAGCTCGGAAATAACAGCATGGCCAGATCAACCAGTGGGTCAGAGAACATGGGATATATGTGAATTTGCAGCAGGTAAGGTGATTTTAAACTCTAAGTGAAAACTGGGAATCTAAAAGCTGGTGCACTCAGTACCATGTCGGTAAACTAACCATAGATTGAAGGCAAAGAAATCACTGTTATAGCTGTATGATCCCTTCTAAAGAGAAAGGAAATTAGTTAGGAACTGAAAAGGGAAGAATAGACAGGGGGGGAAAAAAAAAAGGGTTTCAGCTCATAGGCTCTAAATTCTGCAGGCTAAAAGGAATGATGATTGGTCCATACCCATAAATTCAATCCCAAGATGCTCTGCCAATGCAGAAAGTTGACAAAAAAAAAAGAAAGAAAGGGAAAAAGTTTCAGAAAAGAGCAATACGCTGCACTCCAAAACACATTACACACGACTATTATGGCTCTGTGCGTGCACATTGAACAGACAAACGGCGGATGGTTAAGGAAGCAGTGCTCAGGTACGCCCCCATGAGTCCACAGAGGGAACTTCTCTTTTAAGAGGTGCGCAAATACCAGCACACTGTGTCTTTATTAACCCTTAAAAGACCTTACTGAGGGAGAAGTTGTACGGCTGAACTCTCCTCTATGCTATTTCATTATTTGGGAATAGAATACTGTATTTATCATCAGAGACAGCATTTGGCATTATTTCATTCTTCTCTTTTCAAAAGGCAGACTTGAAGTTCCAGGGAGGTGAAATTGTTTTGCCCAAAGACACACAGTGGCAGAGCTAGGAGGTGAAGCCAAGTAATTTGGTTGGAAAATTTCATCACAATGGATTTATATAGCTATGCTCTAATATTTCTTGTTGCTTTAGTTATTTTTTAAAAACGATTTCCTTTTCTCCAAACCTTCTACTCTCTCCACCACTTACATGACAAGGAGCAAACATTTCTGCTCAGAAAGCCAGACGGGGCACTGGGGCACTGGAGCCTGCTTCCAGTTTTCCATATAATTCCTGTGTGGTATAGGACAGCTCTGAATGCCTCACGTTTTCAATTGGTTAAAAAAAGAAAAAAGAGGTGGGGGGAGGATGCAATTCCTGGGTTCTTTAGTTAAATTTAATTTACTACTACTTCAAATCACGAAGAGCCAATTAGATGATCACTTCCCAGTGCTTAGCTCCAATGCCCAGATGACAGCTGAAGGGCACAGGCACCCAGGGAAGCTGCAGGGCTGCCCAGGGAAAGGGACTCAAAGTTGTGTGCTCACAGCCCACAGTCCTGGCAGACCTGACTGACGAGGGACCGGGATTGCAGGACCAGCAGAACCTGCACAGGCTCAAGTGACGAAATGGGGCCGAAAAACCAAAACAAACAAACAGAAAAAACCAAAAACCTCTGGAAAGGACCCATTCCATTCTTGAAACAAAAAGTTGTTAACCAAATTTCATCATGTGCGGCCCTTCAGGATTTCCTTATTTGTGCGTGGGTGGTGGAGAGGCAGGTGGGAAGGAGGGGCAGGATAAAAACAAACAGAGGGGTTCTGTGGTCTATCTTTCTTCCCTTGGTCACTGATTAGAGAGGTACCAGGACAGTCCCCCAAATGTGACAAGGCATCTGTTAAGTTTGAAAACATGTGATAGAGGGGTATTTCTCTTACAGAAGCATCAGTTTGGACGTGAGCAAAGCCCCTCATATAGAGAAGGGAAAGGAGGAGGTAAGTATGTTTGGAGTCATCCTCGTTTCAGGTCCTTTCTCTGCCATTTACCTGTTCAGTGACTTTGGACAAGTTAATTTCTTGTTGACAAAATGCTTATGATATTGATAAATGCCTCACAGGGTGACCCTGTGGAATAAAGGAGACATGAAGTATGTCTGCCAACAGCAGAGGGGTTCAACAGCGTGGGGAACAGACATATCTGGAGATTTACTTTGGGCCACTTGCTGCATGGATGTAGGTTTACTTCTGATTAATGTCACGGCCCTCAAAACTCTGATAGCTCCTGGGATATTTCAAGAATTTAGATTTAAAAAAAGAAACTTGCCACCTCTTAAGGAAACGAAGTTTCCTAGATTTAAAAAATCTATATCTATATATGTAGATGATATAGATATATACATAGTGCATCTAGTAACAATGATAAAGAGGCACTTGATATAACAGAGAGTTCCGTTTGCCTTGAGTCCAGGGTACTCAGGCAAATCACCTACATTTTTCATAAATTTAAAGCCAGAGGATGTAGGGTTACTTTGGTTGCACAATGTTCACAGCAAAATTAACAACTTTTTCCAATTCAAACGAATTTCTCTTGCCTCTGTGCAACATTCAATTTGACGAACTGACATTTCCCCCCCCCCCCGTTTGTTTCCTCCATATAAACTTCGGAACATCAAGATACCAAAATTCATTTTCCGAAGAACTGATCATAAATTTCCTTACACATTTACGTGAGAAAGTGACTCAATTTTTCTCCCTAGAACCCTCTCTATCTCTTGCCTTTTCCTCCTACGTCAGTAATAATTTAAGGGTTAAAATCAAGAGATAACTACAGAAACTCTTTCCAGAGAAGAGAATCATGATTCCATGCCTACGTGAACACTGCTAATTGTCTATATTAGTTGCACAGAAAGCTTGGTTAAGTCTTCAATGAAATTAGTAGCATGCTCATGCATACATATTACTGCATTTACAGTTTTATAGGTAAGTCTGTGAGCCTAACTCTAATTTCATTTCATGGGAAGTCATTCATATCAGGCAGCTCCAATTTCAGTAATTCAAAGGGAAATTGGTACTTAAAATTGGAATCTCTTCTGGCTATAAACCCTAACAAGGAAACAAGCAGAGGAAGCATGCATCAGTCACACTAGTCCCATAGCAAATGCTACTCTAATTTATTTTTACTATTGGTGGCTACATTTCTTTCATTGTGAGTCAGAAAAGTAGGATACACAAACACTTTTCATTTTCTGAAGAGGTCATTACTTTCTATCTTTTCTATTTAATCTAATGTTGGCTTAGGCTTATTACATATGTGTTTCCTATTGAACTTCTGCCTAGCCACTCCATTTTTCAAATTAAATTAGTGATTCAAAAACACGAAGGTTACTGTAAACAGTTTAGTTTCCTTTTCTACATGTGATTTCCTGCTGTGCAGTAAGCAATATAAAAAATTAATTTAAATCTAAGAGTCTTCAGAAACTATTAAATATTGACTCGCTAATCCTTTGTTTTAGGATTTTTATAATAGTTTGAAGAAAACTGATTAACCTGTAGGTTAATTTAAATTTTCAATTGCATTAGAGAAAAGAACAAGAAAACAACTTTTTTAAAAACTGAAATTGTCCATACATGCAATTATAATTTCTGTTAAATCTGAAGACATTGAGGATTTTATTCCTTAACATCTTGGGTCTCCTTATGCAAATAATCTCAAAGAGGTAGGTGTCCTCTTGACTTTCTGCCCCTCTGAGGTTTCTAGAGGGGTCCCGTCAATGTCATTTCTAATTAGGAGCAATTTAGCACCTGACTTCTAATTTTCGACTTACCTTTACAAATGTAGATTTTTTTTTCACATATACCAACCCATATTGCCACTGAGCCCTTCGAAATGTAATAGGAAACTCTCTCCTTCCTTCCAAGTTTCCACATGCCATGAGCAAGTATTGATGCATTCACAAAAACACACACAGTGAAATCTCACTAACGCTCAGCTGGAGTTGATGATAATTTTGTCATAGGTTGAGTGTGTCTTTATTCTACTTTCAGCAAGATACACACGTTTGATAAAGAAATTAATAACTTCAGAGAGTCTTTAAAACATTTAGAAAAGTCAACACAAATAATTTAGGCACTAGTAACCTATGGTTCAAAAAAACTTTTAAGGCTAAGTTTACTCATTCTGAGAATATGCCTACAAGTTCTAAAATTGTACTCTTTTAAAATAGTCTATAATTTGGGCTATTCTATAATTACTTCCTATTAAATGTTAGTTTATACATGACCTATTTGCTCCATACTGCCTGTAACTATTGAAGCTGTGAGTGCTTTTTTTCTAGAACGTCTATAAAGTGATTATCGATTGTCTATATATATATATATACACACACACACACACACACACGCACTCTCTCACACACACACACACACACACACACACAAAATGATGAACACAATCCTTTCAAGTAGGAATTCAGTGTCAAGAAGGGTGAAATTTGAAGCTGACTAACCTTGACACTATCTTCCTAGAAAGTATTATAAATATGTTTTATTTCAAGGAAAATGGCTTCCTTCAAGAACACTCTATAAAATATACATGTGTTCCTTTCTTTTATATTTTAAATCAGTTTTTATAAATCAATAAATGTCCCATAGGACACCCTGACCAGACAAACTGTATTAAATCCTAATAATGTAAGTAAGTTATGTGTTAATAAGCATTTAAAAAATTGTACGTTCTTTTAGGATGTGATTCTTCAACTGAAAATGTGGTTGGGTAAGTTGAACAATGTTTCTCTTGGAAGCTGGGGAATATCTTTTCTTTTAAAATGTATGTTATGCATTTCAAACTTTATGAACACCAATAAGTAAATTTTAAACATTACCATGGTGGCAACACTTTTTAGTTTTTGTGTAGCCTTCATTGTTACTTGAACATAAAGTTCTCAGAGCAGCAAACATTTATTTTCCTGCCTTCTATGTGAAGGTCTGCAGAAATAAACATTGAGAATTTAAGACATGGAAGTTAGAAAATTAACTCTGGGCAAGACAATTTTGGAAAGCAGTTTCTGATTGGAAGCTCTTGCTTTTCCAGACATGAGGCAGCGTTGATGATGCATAGTCACTACAGATTTTGTTTATAAATGTGCTTCCTATCAATCTTTGTTAAATCAGGTTAAAAATGAATGCTGCTTTCCTGGACATCTTCCAAAAGTGCCACTGAAAGCTTACTAAAGAATTTATTCAAGGACTCACACTCAGATTAAATACACAGTAGCTATTTTAAAATTATATCTTATGAAAGAGAAGATGGTCTAAAAGAGAAGCTGAGAACATTTTTTCAGGTTATTGCCATCAGATCTCACTGCATTATCATTTTGGGGGAATATCTTCATTTTTTAATGCTTTTCTCTATCTGGTACTTCAACATTGCTTTCAGTGCACAATGGTATTCCAAAATTTTAAGTACAATGCACATGTTCAGAATTTTCATTAAATTCTAAGATATAAATGTATTGAATTTACAGTCACATGGATTTGCTAAATCTATGTCATTTGAATACAAACAAACACATTTCTAAAAGGAAATTACTATATTAAGTAAAATTCTACTTTTACCTTCTGTTCTTACTTTCCATCTTATCTACCTTTGTAACAATATTCTACAGCTGTAGAGAGAACAATTCTGTCCACTAAAGGCATTTTAAAGATTCTGAATAAAGGGGAGACCGTGTTTGAAAACTTAGCGATGCCAATTTACCAATTTTTCACAACATAAAATGGTCTGTAACATAATTTTTGACCTGTAGCCTTTGTAAATACATAATAAGAAGTACCACGTCACTAAAAAAAAAAAAATAGTTTGAATAGTATGGGCCTAATCGCCCCATAATGCATATGAAATTTCTTTATTCTTCCATGTCTGTTAACATAAGGAACAGAATCTTATTCTTTGCATGTATACAAGTAAGAGTCAAATCTCATTCTTTTAGAGCCCCCAAATGACCAATTGCTATCACTGTTTCTTGTGTTACATGAACTTATACCCTAATACGCTATGTGAAATATTTCTTGGGGTGAGAAATTGACACTCTGAATCAGAGGTTGACAAATGCATTACGATGCTTTTGTAAATAAAGTTTCAATAGTACACAGCCATGCTTATGAGTTCTTGCATTGTTTATGACCGCTTTTGTGCTACAGTGGCCAAGTTTTCTGTGGTTACGACACTGATGGTATGGTCTGCAAACACAGAAGTATGTACCATCTGATCCTTTACAGAAAAATATTTGTCAACCTTTGATCTAAATGGATAACAATATGGAATCCATTTTAAATATAATGCTTTGAAAGCTCCAGAATTAAAAGCTACAGTCCTCATTCACAAAAGCAGGAGAACTACATAGTTTAGTTATCCGTGCAATTATATACAATGTGAATTGGGTCTTTTAGGAATGATGTCCAAGACTTCATGAAGCCACAGAAATCAATCAAAATTTCCCAGTTCTCATTAAAAAATATATATCTAGCAGTGAACTGTGATATTTCAAAGTAACTAATAAATATTTTTAAAAAACAATTTTCCTAAAATTATTACTGAAACTAGAATAACTAACATAAATAAATGATTTAACAATTCATCTAAAAATCATTTAGACCCGAATCACTTTTTTCCTAAACAAGGTCAATAGAAGCCTGGCTATCTCCTTTGCTGTAAGATGTTTGTTTGTTTTTAATTTTCCTACTCAGTGCTTTTTTTAAACTTAAATGCAAACTGTTTGGTTAATGAAGAGAAACATCTGCACTCTTTTTATTCTGTTTATTTGTTAGAAGTAACACATTCTGAACCGAAATGAACTTACCATCATTTCAAGTGTGTACTGGTTACAACTTAGCGAACATCCTTTTCAGGATGGGGTCATTTTATAAAGAAGATGGACTGTCCAGTGGAATGATTTTATTTTATCAATAAAAGTGAGACTTTTAAATGCCTTTATTATCATTGCACTGTGTGATACAGACTATCATTTTGTATCACATTATTCAAGATCAATTTCAGAAGCATCGGAGCCTCACACACCTATGAGCATCTCGGAGCCAACTAGTCATGAACAGAGGAAGTAATACAATTGCTTTTGTTAATGTTCTCATGCGACAGGCAGAGGCAGTCAATGTTAGACCTGGTAAAACACATCTAGCTCTAGGTGAAATCTGAGGGAAGATGCAGCAACAAGAAAGCAGCACCGACTGAGCATGCTCCTATTCAGGCAGAGACAGAAAGGGAGTGGACGTACTGTAGAAGCTGGCCATTACGTAGTTTTGGCAGCGATCACCAGTAAACTCATTTGGGCACCTGAGAGAAGAAACAAAAAAAACAATGGTAGAAAAAACAGAGAAAAAGAGAAGAGGTGAATATATGCCAGAAAGAAGCTCCTTCAGTGACATTTGATTGAACTTGGTGAGTTCACCCTCAGGAACTGAGTCTTTGTCCTAATGGTGGCTTTTAGACTCTGGCATTTCCCCCAAAGGGTTAAAAATTTGGACAGAAATGATAGAAAGATCCCAGCATTTTAAGTGACCGCATTCTCTCAAAGGGAGTCACTTGAAGTGAAAGCAGATGTTTTCTTTAACTAGGTTTTCTGTTTGACAGCATTGGTCCAAAATGTTGGAAGGAAAGGAGTTCTGGTTGGCTGGCCCGCCATGATCACCAGCATCACTGACCATCCTGATGGGTCATTCTTTTATAAAACTGATGGCCATTGGGGTCTGTGTTGAGACACAGTTCAACAAGGTCTCACTGAATGGGTTTATGCCCTGAGTGGTTAAACCATAATTAGAACAAAAGGAATCAGTCACAACTGAGTTGTAAAACCACCAAGTGGTAGTGATTGTTGCTGTAGTTTGGGGGAGAAAGCAAATTTCAGATTATTTTAACATACTTTCTTGGGTTTGGACTTTCATGGGCACATTCTCAGTACATCTCGCTCCAGTGAATCCAGGTTGGCACCTAGAGGGTAAAAATGTAATAAGCAATCGAACGCTAAAGACACTGAACTTTCAGACTGGCAATTTTCCTCCTATGGAGTATGGAGACTCCTACAAATGACCTGGTAGCTGAACAACGTAAAAGAAAGGAGAAGACAAAACATTTAGAAAACCATGTCCCATGAAAACTGTGGGGTATATATTTCTGTTGTCTGCTTCAGTCTTCATAAGATCAGTTAACTGAAATTTAACTAGAGTGAGGTTGAAAAGTTGAAGTGGCAAGTTCTGGGCAGCTAAGTCATTTTCCCTTGGGCATTTCTGAAGTTGTCACTGATCAATTGACTCACTATGTTAAAACACCGGTTTTGGTAAGAGCTTGTAAGGTTCCATCCGCCATCTTTTATTGTTTAAATGACCCTGAGCTTTTTCTTTTGTAGACACCACTTTGTACTTCATTTCATAGGTATCTTTATAAGTGAGATCAACAAACTACAATAGAAGTCAAGCTCTTTCACACTCTAGTGATTACTGACAAGAAAAACTACATCTCTTTTTGTTTTAAAGATATTACAAATTAGGTCTTATTTTTAATGGTGAAAGCAAGAGGCAGATTTTTATGAGTACGAATTTCACTTCATCCAATTATCTCAAGTCAAAGGCAAATACACTTCTAAAATTTAAACAGTTATTCCTCTACTGAAGTATTTAATAAATGTCATTTTTGCATTTAGGGTAAATTGTTTTGAAACTCTATAAAATTTACATTTTACTCACTCGTATACATTTGCCTATCAAAATTCCAGAATCCTGGTACAATACTGTTCTTAAAGCCTTGTGACGGGGCTGTGCCTAAATATGGAAGCCCTTTACAACTGCTCTTTTTGTTGCTGTCACTCCAGTAACTAAAGCATTGCAGAATGGATTCATTTTACCCAGTATCATACTCTAATAAATAGGGTCATCAAAAAGTTCCAGGACGCAAATACACCTCTTACAGGTGCTCCACAACCATAGCCATGATTATCAGTAATAGTTCATCTAGGCCATAACCATCATGCACACACCTCATGATTTACTTACAACCCTTTCTTCTCCAGAGTAAATAAAAATAAACACCATCTTTTTGGCATCAAAGAGATGTGAATAAAACGATTCATTTTTGCTAATATAAGGTTGATTTTTTTTCATTTCCCTTAAAGCCAAATTCAGTGCCAAAAAATGTTCTCAAGTGATTTGGTACATCTACTTCACCTATTTCATGAAGAATGGCTCGTAAGAATAAATACTAGCAGTTCCAGATTTTCAGCCCTATAAGTACTTGGGTAAACAAAGTATAATTATGATCATTAAAAATAATATTGGGGGCTTCCCTGGTGGCGCAGTGGTTGACAGTCCGCCTGCCGATGCAGGGGACGCGGGTTTGTGCCCTGGTCCGGGAAGATCCCACGTGCCGCGGAGCGGCTGGGCCCGTGAGCCATGGCCGCTGAGCCTGCGCGTCCGGAGCCTGTGCTCCGCAACGGGAGAGGCCACAAGCTTAACAACAAACATCTTGTATTGATACAGTTTTTTGAGTTCTTCAAAAAATATATATATTTTTAATGAACTGGTTATATTCATTTATAATATTTTTGCTTCAATGAGTAGAGGAAGATCTGCCTAGAGAAATACAGAAATAAGAACTATAACCTGTGAGGTTGGGTCATTTCTCATGAAGATGTCATTCTGCGTGCTTCAATAAGAGTGCCTTCACAGGTAATTTAAGAAAAATATACGGAAACTTGTTTTCCATATAACTTATTTGACATAAAAAGTTTTGAAGTACATGGGTTTGTTTGTTTGTTTGTTTTTGTGGTATGCGGGCCTGTCACCGCTGTGGCCTCTCCTGTTGCGGAGCACTGGCTCCGGACGCGCAGGCTCGGCGGCCATGGCTCAAGGGCCCAGCTGCTCCGCGGCATGTGGGATCTTCCCGGACCGGGGCACGAACCCGTGTCCCCTGCATCGGCAGGCGGACTCTCAACCACTGCACCACCAGGGAAGCCCTACGTGGGCTTTTAATTTGTATATTTGTTTCTGAACCAGGACTATATAAATCCATATAGACATACACTATAATTAAGTAGGTAATTTCAGACCTAAGAATATATTCTATAATGACCATTTCATCTTAAAAATTTAAATTCTTAATTTGATCACACAATAATCCACTTGTTTCATACAAAGAACATGGTATAAGATATGTGAATATGGTATGTATGTGTGTGAGAAGAGAGGGAGAGAGAACCATTGGAGGTAAGAAATGCACCTATTATTTAAGGATTATGAAATTAACAAACAGCTGAGAGATCATGAGTCCCTTAAGAGAAGAAACGCATTTATTAGAAGATTGCCATTTATGCATCTAGGATGACACTTTTGAGATCACTGGTCAGAGGACAACTAGATGAAGGGGATCAAAAATCTTACCCAATCAATTTTCTGATTCATACAAATCCTGAGATGATGTTTCCTAGGGAACTAGCATTATCTCTATCATAAGATGATATATCAATAGAATATTTGGTGCAGTGACATTAGATCTGCTTAAGGTATGCCAATCCTTTTTGGAATCATCAGCTATAACCGAACAAGAACTCTCCTTTCGCTACTGTTTACTTTCACTTAGATGGATTTTCTTAGCGTAAAAGCCTTATTATTATTCAAAGCGGGGTCCAAGGACCAATAGCACCAGCATCTCCTGGAATCTTGTTAGGAGACACGTAGAATCTCAGGCCCCCATCCATAACTACTGAATAAGAATCTGTATTTCAACAAGATCCCTAAGAGATCTGTTTGTACATTAAAGTTTAGGATGTCAGGGATCCTGACCTCCAAAAGGCCCTCTACCCTGGCATCACAGAATCTTGCTGCTTGCATGTGAGAAGCCCATTTGGCTTCATTGGGCCTCAGCTGTCCTCAGGGATAAAATGAAAGGATTTAACTAAGTGATTACCAAAGGTTTCTCTTACCACGAAGGTTCTGGGAATCACCCTCACACATGGAATCACTGTGCAAAAACCCAGACATCATTTCTTCTGAATGTATTACCAGTCAGGGAGGACTCAAGAACTTAAAAAATAAATTTCTGATAGAATGGATTTTTAAAGACAATCTGGAGGCAAAATAAATTTCAAATACCTATTCCTAAGCAATTCAAGGGTTCAGCGGCTATAATCATTATGTAACTTTTGTGGACGTCTAGAATTGTTACCGAATCAGATGGAAGGAAGTGGAAACAGTTTCTGCATAAGCAAACTGCAGACTGCATTGACTGGGTAGAGGAAGCATATGCAAATGGAAATGCACCTGATCTATAGGCTCTGATTAAATTCTATGGAATTACTTCTAAAAGAATAGGCAGACTGGCTGCTGACATATTTCTTTATTAGCACTGTACTTTAAGCTTTCCAATCTATCGCTTTCTTCGGAGATAAGAGTACGGTAAATTTAATCTGATTTTGAACAGTATTCTTTGGCACGAGTCTGAGCACCTTCCAAGAATTTTATGTCTTAGAAGAACCTGTTTGAATAAGAACCGAGCCCCTATTTTAGCTCCAAAACTATATATACCGTTTGTTTTACTGATCAGATTAGAAGATGGAAATATTTTTTTAAAAATTTTAGGGCTTCCCTGGTGGCGCGGTGGTTGAGAGTCCGCCTGCCGATGCAGGGGACACGGGTTCGTGCCCCGGTTCCGGGAGGATCCCACATGCTGCGGAGCGGCTGGGCCCCATGAGCCATGGCCGCTGAGCCTGCACGTCCGGAGCCTGTGCTCCGCAACAGGAGAGGCCACAACAGTGAGAGGCCCGCGTACCGCAAAAAAAAAAAAGTTTAGTATTTGCTCTTAACATGATAAACTATCTTTGTTCTATGATTGTTCTTCGTGAGATGAAAACTCATAGTTTTGTCTGAACTGAAGCAGCATCTCTTCCAACTAGCATCACCTCTTCCCTGAGTGCCATATCCTCACCTCTACACATCCACACCCTGGGAGAAGGATTCCTTATTTGGCTCTCACATTGCACACTGCCCTGATCTCTTCCAATGTCCTTACCTATCTGTCTCGTGATTACCTCTTTGTGAGGACGCTGACCACATTCTGATCATTTTATAGCTCTAATGTTTAGCCTGGCTCACGAAGGACTCTCATAAAATGTTAGTTAAACTGAACCTGACTGAGGATCAGACTGCGGTGTCCAGTAAAGGACTGTATTAAGGAGAATCTCACAGTCAATTGATTTGCCAGGTACAGCTCAATAACCGGCTTTTATTTTTATAGTTTGTGACCGACTCTCTCCTCTGTATACTTCCAAATAATTTTTTATAGGAGCT